AGACCGAAAAAGAAAAAAAACTAAATTTTCACACTTCATAGGATAGAGTGGGCGCGGCTGATTTTTATTCGCAAAATAAAAGTTTTTTTCGCATACACCTTTGGACGTTGTGGGCACTGTCTTGATAAACTTCGTCACATCCAAATTCTTTTGCAAAATTTTTGGCGTAGTTTTCATTTTCGCTTGCGAGGGGACGCTGCGCAGAAGGATAAACGGAAAGACGGAAATGCTTAGGTGTATTCTAAATTTGAAACGGACCAAGAATTTAAATAATTTATGGCGTTTCCTGTGTCTTATAAAGGTATTAAAAAAAAAATTAAATTTTGATACACAAAAAAATGGGTAGGCGTGATCCATTTGCGTACAGATCCTACAGCCCCACCCACAGGATTTGCGTTTAAAATTTTTGTATATTTATCTGCTATAGTTAACGAGTAAAAAACCAATCTCTTATTTCTTTTGAAAATCAGTCGTGTTCTCAATTTACTTGATACGCTGGGCGTGACTTTCGATCGTTTTCAATACCAAACAGCTCCCAAAAACTCCTAATGTTTCTACCAAATTTAAAGTTATTAGGTTCATTTTTGCGGCCAGGAGAATGTTTACGACGGACATTATAAAGACGGGCAGACACACATGCAGATAGGCGAACAGACACATATGCAGGCAGACGAACAGGCTTAAATCGCCTAAGAGTTTGATGCTGATTGACAATATTTATACTCTGTGGAATCTGTAATACTTCTGGGCGTTGCAAACGTTTTGACAAACCGAATATATCTATCATCCTTCAGTGATGTGTGTAAAAATTGCTCCCTGGAATGTCAAATAACAGAGTACACTTTAGGTGCAAACTCCTCGAAAAGCGCTGTAATCGCAAGATGCTGCGCAAAAGGGAGAAAGAGGGAGGGAGAGAGAGAGAGAGAGAGAGAGAAAAAGAGACTTGAAAGACAATTTAACGTCCCATATAATGTAAGCGTAAGCTTTGCATATGACTATTACAAAGTAAAATATAGAATATTGCTCAGAGGCATAAAAAATACACTTAATGGACATAACGTACAGATAAAAATAGTGTTTTAGGAAGTAATGCCGCTATCTAATAAATGCTGGATGGCTGAGTCGAAAAGGTAACTATCTCATGGGCGGTACGAACTATCCTGTTATTATATCTTGCGCTAAGCAAAATTTTGAAAGCACAACGACGATTTGCAATAGATAAACTTTCGGACCTATATAACGGACCTGGTTATCACATTTTTCTGGACTGAATTTTAAAATATAAATAACTTACGACATCTCTGACTCATATGTAGTACAAATTTTCATCGAACTTAATACATTCCCTACAATGGATATGTAAAAAAAAAATGTTATTTAAAGCAATGAAAATGGCGCCATTAAAGGAAAAAATCGATATCCATAGTTCAAAGTAATAGGTTGGTGCATAATTATCAGGCGTTTTTTAAACGATATTATCAAACGTTCTTGAACACTATTTATTGTGAAGAAGACAACTTAAAAATTCAACAGTAACATTTTTAAACGATTAATACGGAGCCTAGTCACCATCTACATCAATCACTACTTCCAGTTTGCTTATTTTGAAGCTTTTTGAGACGACAAACGATGGTTGAATGGTCCACATTGACGTTGTTGGCCAGCATTCGAGTTATCAAACTTTTCTTCCCCAGCCGCGGCTGTCAAAAAGGACTGACCGTCGAAATCCGATGGTCGACTTCGTTCTGCCTTATCTTCCAAGCTATTGTCGCCAGATGTGAAATGGACAAACCATTCTCTGCATCGAGTTTCGCTGATTGTGCCCTCATTGAAGAGTTCGCATAATGACTGTGCTACTTTCCATCTTTTCTCAAAGTGAGACAGCATAATATGAGAAATATGAGTATGATTATCGACACGCATTTTTATAACCTAAAAGTAGGAGGATATTTTCATTCATATAAATTCATGAAATATTGTACATTTTTAATAAAACATAGCACGTCTAAGAAAAGCGAGATAATTATGCAACAACCCAATAACTGCATGTTGCCAATCTTTCGGTCGTTTTTTCTCGCTTGAATTGCTTATTAAGGATGCGTAGCCTGAACTTAAATCAGTTTAATATTAAATACATTTCTACATATTATATTGAACAGATTGGCTTTGGCTTGCTGCTCAGTCAGCTATCATGAAATACACAAATGAAAAGAAATATATTGATGGGATAGGATGGAAGGAAAGGGATTCATTGACTCGAGTCTATAATGTGTAGTAAAAAGTCAATCTGTTGTTATAAATGCTTTGCTTAGTGATGTAATTAAGTACACATCAGATTGTCTTGAGGTATATTGCAGACCATTTTATTGACATTCCTTCCCATCCAGTGCAAAACTACCTAGAGTTCATGACTAACTACTATGCGTAATCACTTGTGTGAGTCATGAGAAACAAAAAAAAAAAAAAAACATAATAAAAAAGTTTACTTGTAAATTTAAACTTTTTCTTTTGAAACTTAAATCTAATCATGATTTAATAGTTGTTTTTGAAATAAGTAAAATATAGTTTTATTTCAATATTTAATCATAGTTCACCCCTTTGAACTAAATGCACAACCACAATAACTATGTTATGCAATTTTAAAACGAAATTTAATATCGATTGATCCTTTCAAATTTGATGTCAGAATTACAAATAATTCTGTTTGTACGTACACTTACGCTTCGATTGCTATGTTACATACATAGCATAGGAAAACTTAAGGCGTATTAGCTAAGCACAAGAGAAATGTTACGAAAAAATTAAAAAAAAAAAAAAATAAGCCAAAGTTTCATCGAATAGCTAGCTAACTGTTCTAAGGATTTGTAGAGCACTTGACGCCGAAGAGGATATTGGTTGATTATACGGTAGTTTGAGTCCTATAGAGATGGCTACCAAAGAAACAACAACAACAGCTCGAATTTTAATCAAAAAAAAGAAAAAGAAAAAAAAAAACGAGGTCGATTGTTTGGCAAACAAAGTAAAACGTTAAATCGCAGCAATGAAAACATGGCCATAAAAGACCCAAAGGTATTGAAATTCACTTTTTGTTTTTTTTAAATTTGCGAGAAAATTCTCCTTAAAATAATTTGAAAAATATTTAATGTATTTATTTTCCAAAATTTATATATAAATATATGAATTGTTCAAATAGTGGAGAAAGGCGGCGTCAAACCAGGTGAACAGTCTCTATACTAACTTTAGCTTACGATAGAAATGACAAACTTCTGTTCATACATAAGGTAACGACTCAACTTAGTGCCGGGGTATACGTGCCGTACCTCGTGGATCACTCGCACGAATACTTGTAGTTCGTGGCCCAATCTATCAATTTTCAGGTGGTTTATCGTTTTCTTCTATTCAACGCGAATCATGAGTTGGACGAGATTTGATTTTGTTAATAACAGTTTATAAGTTCACAATTCTCTCTCTACCGAATCTCAAACTAGAAAAATAATATGACAACCTTCGACCGGACGTCTCACAGCGAGAATTAAAACCAAGATCCTGGCTAGCAAAGCAAAAGCTGACTTTTTAGCTTCTGGCGAAGAAAAGTTACCACTTACAAACTTCCCAGATCAAATGATTTTAACTGAGATGCTTATTACCAGTCATCAGTCGCTTGTAATACTTAGCCTAATTTATATTCTAGCGCCCCCTCCCGAACGAAAGATATATGTGAAGGTAAAAAAGGGGGCGCGACTTTGATTGTACCTAATAACATCCTGTCTTTCGAATGACATGTCATGAGGCAAAATAATTACTAAAATCTTTACAAAGACGAATCGAAAAGTCAATTCTAAATCATAATCGCTTTTCCTTATTACCAAATATAATTGTCCATATCGGATTATCCCGATTTTATAAGGTCTTGAGATGAACTAAATAGCCCTGCACAATAGGAAAAACTTCTTTGCGATCCATAAACCATAACTTTACTTTATTAAACTTCTAATCGCTGATGAATCAATCTCGCTTGGATCACAATGGAGCAAAAAAGACACTTCTCTTTCGATGGAAGCCAAATCAAGGAACGTTTGCTATTTAATGAGCGATCCATCTGATACTTCTTAGCTAAAGATTTGAACGGACTAGTTCTAAGAAAAAATTACTTTTTGTTCGATGTCCTATCCGATAAGCATAGAGAATGAAACGGCGGACAGATTCGGTTAGTTTAGAAAGTCTACACATTATTATTACTAATTATGTAGGCAAGACGCACTGCAACCTAGAAGATCTATGGTATACGTCCATGCTGTTAGTTCTGCAGTTTTAAGAATTTTTTTAATTCCGCCACGTTCTTTGGATCGGAGAACCACACCATGCCCGGCGTAGTAAAATGCAGGCCAAACACTTGGTGTCTGATTTCACAGATGACCTCACATGATGGGGCAGACTCTCCATGAATTGGTATCAAACATATCCACATTTTTCAGATGTTACCTGAGGGAATTATGACCCATGTAGAAGCCGGTAAACAAAAGTAGGCCTCTTCTTCTTAGATCCAGTAGTTTGTGTGGCCTACCGGAAGATTTTATCAGTCGTTGTCTCGCTGATTGATTCCAACGACAATCCGCTTTATACTATGCCCATTGCGATACCAGCCTATTAATGTGGCTTATTCGGTTCAGGACCTACTATGGCCCCGCGGACAAGTCTACATAGAACTTTCTTAGAACTATTACAAAAGAATGTAATAAGCACCTACATCCTTGTAATAATGAGTACAGAAAATAAGCTTTAGTTTTTCTAAGTATTTTCCCAGCTACGTAAAAATTAATAATATATTTGCTTAACCTAAAGAATGCGAAAGAAAAAGAGTACAGCAAAAAAATTTAAAAAAAAAAAAAAAAAACAAGGAAAAAAGTATTGAAATAAAATAAAAACACTTAAATTCGCTTTTATATGCGTTCACGTGTATGCGTGTTTGTATTCACCCTCTTTTCTTTTGCCCTTTCCAGATAAAAAATGTCTGCAGGAAACTCATCTATTTAATCGTTTGCACGCCATCGCCTCGTCTAAACAAAGACATAATAAACAAACTTGTTGCCATCATCATGTCAAAGCATTCTAATAACGAACACTTACGTAATGATATTTATGAAAATTTACCGTGCCAGGCCATGTTTAATGAGTCTGTGCGTAAAATGCAGCAACAACAACAGCAACAGCAGCAACACAAAATCCTTCTTACTCCGAATAATTTAACAAATAAGGCTTTATCTCAGCAACTTTTAATCAATAATATAAGTAATCAAAGTGCTCATATAAATTCGAATTCGAATACGAATACAAATTCTAATCCCATACCTAATAATAAAGAGCAAAGCAGTAAACATTATGTTGCGGGCAATATGTCTAAGGAAATGATTTATGCTACACCATTAAGAAAATCGGATCGTTATAAAAGTAATGATCGCGGTCGCTTACTAAATCCAATGTCAAGAAATCTCATTGAAAATACGGAATCGGGTAATGATATTAAATTAAGTAATGTCTTAGATTATAAACAAGTCAATAATAGTAGAGATAGCAATCGATTGAACGGCCGTAACGGAAACAACGCGATACCAATTACTGATCTCGATGAAGAATCTGATGGTTGCATTACTAATGCCTTATTTAATAGTCAAGGTTTGCCATTACCAAGCAGTGGCAGTACACCCAGTCATCAATTGGAAGATCGTAGAATTTTGAATTTCCTTAAAGATACAACACAACTGCATAAGAAAATGGAAATAACTGGAAGAGATTGTCCCAATGCCAGCTTTTCTAATTTGGCCAGAGAAGAACATTTTGCCAATTTGGTACAACAAAATTTTCCACTTGAAATATCTCAAGCAAATCCATGCGTTCAAACGTCACAGCGTCATAGCGTTGATCCAGAGGACGAAATGGAAGCAATTCTTGAAAATCAGCGCGATCAAGGACCGGAAGAAACTGCTGATAATTTAGAAGTGTTTATGCAAAAAAAATTATCACCTGATAAGGAGGTGAACGGTTTTACTCCGCGCCGAGAAGAATTGATACAAATATCCGGAACGTATTACAACATTCATCGCGAATGGGTATTGAAGAAGATCGCGTTATGTTTAGAGCAACGGATTGGTGGCAAAAAATCGATTCCTGCTCTACTTGGCGGTGCCGGTGGAAATATGAAACCTGAAACCTTTAATGCAGTCGGAGGTTTCATATCAGGCCGTTCGAAAGCGACCGCTATATCGAGTACCACTTATAATGGTTGTTTGGTGCTCGGCTCAAATGGATCTGGTAAAACGTCTATTTGTGAGGCCATTCTAAACGGCAACTCCGGTACCAAAGGAATACTTAATCGGAAATTACTCGCTTGTTACCTTATAGAATCACAGAATCCTGAATGCCATAGCTTATCCCTATTCATACGGAAGATTGTTTTACAGATTCTAAGTCATTCATCTCTTATTAATAAGGACGAACCGCAAAGAATTATCGATGAAGGTTTTTCATTTTTACAGGACGAGGTTCAACAACAAGAATCGAAACTTAACGAAGCAATGAATAATATCTCACTCGATGAGAATGCCGAGGAAATTTTAATAGCTGAATTAAGAAGAGGTGCTAAAGAATGTGATACATCCGAGCTGGAAAACTTTCATGAAAAAAAAATACCAACATATAGTAAAAAATCGGAAAATGTTGGTCTTATGCGTCAAAAATCGGAGCCAGCTCCAGAGCAAATGAATGCCAAAGAAGAACGACCAACCGAAACATGTTACGGTACTCATCCTCCAAAAACTAAGGCATCTAAAAATAAAAATGATGATAAAGATAAAGATAATAATACTGAAAAGCAAAAAATTGATGAGAAAGATAAGGATAAAAATGAAAGGGAAATTCCAGTTTCAAGTAAATCTAGTCCGAATAAAAAATCGAAAATACCAGTTAAACTGGGAAGAGTAGGACCAGTGGCATCACCAGTCAAAGTTGCCAATATAACACACAATTCGCCCAATTCTATACAACAGGGGGGTGGAGAAGATATTGCCGAACTAATCAATGAAGAGCTTAAAACTGAAATACAGTCGGCTATTAATAAAGATACTCAAGACGATAAATTTGAGGTTAGTGAATTTAATTGCGAAAAACAAGACAATGAAGACAAGCCAGAAGCTGATAAAGATTTTGAAATTAATTTGAAAAAACAAAAAGAGACAGCAATTGAGGAGCTTAAAGAAAAGGAAGACAATCTTATAAATTTCGAACAAAATGTTAACTCGAATACATCTGAAATTGCTTTGGCCTTTGAAAGTCAAATAGAAAAAAATTTTCCAATGAATCTATCAACGAGCACTTTACCTCCCCCATTACCGAAAACGAAAAGTTGCCGAACAATTATTGCAGATGGTTATTATGAAATGCTCCTTTCCAATCCAGAGATATTTGAATGCCTTAGTGTCGATAATATTGAAAAGAATCCCGATGAATGTTTTAAGAAGGCCTTACTATTTCCTTTATTAGAACTTACACCGCCGAAGACTGCTTTGCTTCTATTAATCGATTCTATCGATGAAAATTATATTAACGAAGGCAATTTAATATCTACCCTGAAAGGTGGACGCGGTACAGCAACAACACATAAAAGCCGTAATGTAGCCGAACTTTTATCAAATCACATACATCTTTTTCCCAAATGGCTATTCCTCGTATGCACTACAAAGAAACAAACAAAACAAATTACAAGAATGTTTACGGGTTTCAAGAAAATCACATTAGACGATCTTCGCAAATCGCATGTTGTTAAAGATGTACAGGAATATATAATAAATCGATTAAATACCGATTTCAAAGATAGTATTATGCTTACCAAGGAAATTATCGAGTCTCTCCATCAGTTATATATCAAGTCAAACGGATGTATTCTATATTTGGAAAAAGTTTTGAACGGTATTAAAGAGAATTTTTTTAGTTTTCGTGAAATCAAATTAATACCGTGCACGTTAAACGGTCTTTATTTGTACATCTGTCAAAAGTCATTCAATAAAAAGCAATATATGAAAATTAGGCCAGTGTTAAACATTCTATTGGCTTCGTCGGGTTATGTCGATAAATTATTTTTATTCAATTGCATAAGAACTCACAATTATACGATTGATAACGAAGAATTCGAGAAACGATTACTATTAATGAAGAACATTCTTCTTTATGATGACGATCAGAAACGTTTAAAGATATTTCATAATTCATTTTGTGATTGGCTGGTGGATGTGAAATTTGCTACCAAAAAATTCATCTGTGATGTGAACGAAGGTCACATTATGATCTCTATGTATTATTTATTGGTATCCGAAACGCTTTGCGCTAATACCGTGCGCAAATTTGTCTATCATCTAATCAAATCGGGTGAATATTTAACCAATCGTAGTATTGATTTGGATATGTTATTAATGCTTTTGGAATCACGGCTTAATTTAAACGATTGTTTCTATACGAATCATTTGAATTGTTGTCAGCAGTGTGAAGTTGATTTCAAAAATGATCCGAATTTCTTGCCAAAAACGCGAAACATGGTTGAGAAGTTTCTCAATAATGAATTGTCGGATGAGTTCTCTCAAATTTTGTGCGATTTTTTTAAGCCCAGTTTACCAACGGATGCGAAAATTTTAAAACTTCTTATTGAAACTGGCGTAAATAATACCGATACGCAGAACTCTTGCGAATCATCTCTAATGTCCCCGGAATTATCGGAAAAATCACAAAATATAGATTTTGAATTGGCGGATCTTTTAATTTCCAGTGAGCGATCGTGCATTTTGGAAACACAACGCCCGAAAAGCCCGTCAGAGAAAAGTGAACCTCAGCAGGAGAGTCAGGAAGACAACGCTTCCAGTACGCTTCATCAACTTTCCGATTCAAATCGTATCGAATTACATAAAGGCAAAGCATTAATACATATATTGGCCAACGATGGCAATCATCATCTATTGGAAAGAGCTTTAAATGCCTGCAAAGGACCGATCGACTTGGAAATAGAAGATTACAACGGTCAAACAGCTTTGAATATAGCAGCTCGCAATGGTCATTTGGATGTCGTGAAATTGCTTCTGGTTTTTTCGCAACCATGCAACGACGGTACCGGTCGCATGAAGCGTGTTGATGTAAATCATGCTGATCGTGACGGTTGGACACCTCTGCGTTCGGCTTCTTGGGGTGGCCATACCGAAGTTGTTAAGCTGTTGATAGCCCATCCTGCTTGTAAAATAGACTTAGCTGATAAAGAAGGGCGCACTGCCTTACGAGCGGCGGCTTGGAGTGGTCATGAAGACATTTTAAAAATACTCATTGAAAATGGTGCTGACGTCAATTCGGTAGATCGTCAGGGACGTACCTCTCTGATAGCAGCCTCTTATATGGGTCACTATGATATTGTTGAAATTTTGTTAGAAAACGGTGCTAATGTGAATCATCTAGATTTAGATGGTCGTAGTGCTCTTTGCGTGGCTGCCTTGTGTGGCTCCTCTGGTTACAGTAAAGTTATATCTACTTTACTGGAGCATGGTGCCAATACCGATCAATTAGATAACGACGGTATGTCACCGTTGTTAGTAAGCTCTTTCGAAGGCAATGCTGAAGTGTGTGAATTACTTTTGGAAAATGGTGCTGATCCAGATTTAGCTGACTTCATGGGACGCACACCCTTGTGGGCTGCTTGCACGGCAGGTCACGCCAATGTTGTAAAACTTTTACTATTTTGGGGTTGCGGAATTGATTGCATGGACTCAGAAGGACGGACAGTTCTTAGCATAGCAGCGGCTCAGGGTAACGTGGAAACAGTGCGCCAACTTTTAGATCGCGGTCTTGACGAAACTCATCGAGACAACGCTGGTTGGACACCTCTACACTATGGCGCTTTCGAAGGATTTCATGAAGTATGCTTGCAATTGTTAGAGTCTGGAGCTAAAATAGATGAGTGCGATAATGAAGGAAAAACTGCTTTGCACTTGGCAGCGCAAGAGGGCCGTACACGATGCGTACAAGTATTATTAGAAACACATGCTGCTTTCGTCGATCAAAAAGCGCATGATGGTAAAACTGCATTTCGCTTGGCATGTTTGGAAAGTCACTTAGAAACAGTTCAATATTTGCTAAAATATAACTGCGATGTGAATTCTAAGGATGCTGACTCCCGTACCACTCTTTACATATTAGCATTGGAAAATAAGCTGGATATGGTTAAGTATCTCTTAGAATACACTGACGTTGATGTTAATATACCTGATAGTGAAGGTCGCACCGCCCTGCACGTAGCTGCCTGGCAAGGACATTCGGAGATGGTCAAAATGCTTATTACATTGGGTGGGATCATAGTTTTTCACATTCTTTAGGATCTTCTTAATAAATAATATTTTTATATTTTTTACCAGGCAATGCTGATGTCAATGCTATGGATCTAGAAGCGCGGACGCCCTTACACTCTTGTGCTTGGCAAGGAAATCATGATGTTATGAGTATTTTATTGTATTTTGGAGCTTTAGCAGATCATGCTTGTAAGCAAGGGGCCACTGCTTTAGGTATATCAGCACAGGAAGGGCACGAAAAATGCGTTATTGCTTTACTTAAGTACGGTGCTAATCCTTATAAATCCGATCACTGCGGTCGAACGCCTATAAAATTGGCAGCAAAATCCAATCGCACAAATATCCTTAAAATCTTTGATAACTTATCCAAAAGTACGTTTTCGATTAGGTAGACAACCAAAAAAAACTCAATTCTTTCAAACGTATATTTCAAATGTTTCTTTAGGTGAACACAACAATATTCCCATGGAGGGAAAATATCCTTTAACGAATATGGTGCGTACGCCAGATCAACCCCCGTCATTACCTGCTCATGGGAACTTAGCCGGAGGTTTGGTGGGAGCATCAGCTTTCCCTCCCCATGCCTCAGCTTCCTCTGTATGTTCATCCACAACCACGGCTACTGTTAATAATAACATGGCAATATCTAATGCACTGAATGCCTCTAGTTCAACGCATAGCTCGAACAATTTCTATCAAAACACTATGCAATCCGATACAAGTAGCTTGCACAAGCGTAAGAGTGTTATTTCTAGTCAATCCACAGGCAGCAGCAATGATGTAAGCATTAATGATCACCTAATAAACACTATCTCAATTTATACGAAATCATTATTTAACAAACAGCAAGCGCCTCTAACATTTACTCAGCAGTTGCAGCGTCAAAGTAAACTAAACTCAAGGAACAATCCGTTCGTGCAGAATGCTCCTGTTGTTAATTCTAGGAATGCAGCAGGTTCTTCAGCTTTCTCAATAGCTGCACACAAAACGGGTGCTCATCATATGCAGAGGCATTCCCAACTCCTACCCGATCTCAATGAACATCAAATCGGTGAGAAGTGAAGGAAATTATTTTAATTAAGCTAAACCAAATTTTGTCTGCTTACAGCAACTAATATGGCCAGCAATGAAGCTGATCTATACGATATGGAATGCATGTCACCTTTATATGCAACTCCGCCCCATTCGCCTAGCAGCGAACTTAGCTCACCCGGTCAATTGCCTTCGATTAATAATATCGACGATTGCGCTGGCGCGGCAGCTATTTTAACACCAAACGGTAGCAGTGGTATGGGCAATACTAGCAATAAATCAGCTTTACCTGATAATCATTTCGCACGCGATACGCATATGCGCATTATATTGGGCAATTTAAAAGAAAATCAAGTTAGTTCATCCAGGTAAGAAAGCTACGCAACTATTCAAACTCATAACTTGGAATGCATTCAATTATTATCCTTCGCTTTGTTTTTAGTAAAAGTAAACGGAGCGGCATTACTACAAATCCAGCAATGCGTTTAATACGTAGTCGTTTTGATTCGGCAGCACAATTAATACGACGTACCAATAATATCTTATCAAGTAGCAGTCAGGGATCATCTAGTATTGGTGTCAAATCTGGCACATTTCAATGGCGTAAAGAAAGTCAGATGTAAATGAATCATCAATTTAAGAGAAAATAAATAGATAACGGGCTAACAATCCCAAAATTGCTACTCATTATATTTATATAAAATATTCATCGGGAAGGTTTCCTTTTTATTTTGTTTGGCCGTACAATTGTTTATGAACATGACCTTGAAAAATATTATATCGATAGCGAGGCGTACACAAATTAAGTAAATCAAATTTTGAAAAAAATAAAAAAAAATTAATGTGCCATCATCACTCCACACTTACTTCGACAAGACACGTTGCCTATACCAAATAAAATACTACAACTCCTTTTCACTCCTTTTTAAAGTTCGTAATAAACCTTCCCGACGGACACGTCGTTCATATTGAAGATATATGTCGACTTACGTGACTTTACTAATTTTTTTTTTTTTAATATATGTATTTCATTTTGTGATAATTTCATTTTATAATTTTTTGTTTTCATTTTTATATAAATATATATTATTTAATTTTTTATTTATTTATCTATTTAAAAAAAAAAAAAAAAAAAAAACTATAAACTATAGACTTTTTTTTTTTTGAAAGATTCGTTTTTTCAAACATATTTAAAAAAAAAATAAAAAAATAAAACGAAATATTTAACAATTGTAGAATTTATCACAACAAAAGAAAAAGTAAATAAATAAATAAATAAAAAAAAAAAATTATTAAATAAACTCAAAGTTGTAGCTGATACCTTAACGAAAAAAAACTATACGATTCCAATACAAAATTATATAGTAATATAAAAAATTTAAAATTACCACTTAACAAAAATTCTCACTTGGATACTTTAGCATCTATAATTACATACATTCACATATATAAAATTATTATGAAAAAGTTATTTACAAACTGCAAATGTACGTAAACAAGTATAAGCATGTAATACAAAAAAAAAAATATATATATATATATATATATATATATATATATATATATGCATACAACATAATTACAAAATGAAATTACCTTCAATTTCTAAAAATATATGCACAGGTAAAATGTCACAGATGTTTAAATGCATTATTTTCAGTTTCCATTATCACTCATCTTTTATTTCTCCATTTCATCTATTATTTATATATATCGAATTTGTTCACACATTTTAATGTGCAGGAAGCAAATGCACCGTTATTTATGTTATAGTCTACACACATAGAAAACATAGACAGCGGAGTGTGCAACGCGTGCACTTGTAACAGAATCCTGCATTCAATGAACACAAAATCAACCGAAGGTAACAAAGAGTACACTTTTATGTATTTGTATACATACATATAAATATACATATGTTTATGTATATATATATATATATCCAAAGTAAAGAGACTCTAGTCGATAGAATGAATACTGTAGGTAAAGAAAGTCGACAAATTAAAGCCGTATAAGGATTGGTTCTGAAAATTGCGATCGTCGCGCTTGATTGGGAAGCAATCATATCGTTCTGGATAAATAGAGATTTTCGGGTCTAGTTCCTCGGTTAGCAGTTACGCCAGCAATTGTGGAACTTTCTTGCTTAAATTTTATAAGGGATTATCGTAAAATATATCCTTTTAAAAGTTATAACAATTATCACAATATAAACAATCAATTCAGAACTAGCATGGACTTGGCGAATCCTTCGATTATCTCATTAAAACAAAATGAATATATATACTTATATATGTAGACTTATATATATATATATATATATAAGTATATTAAGTATAAGCTACTTAATAGATCGCCTATGCCGTGTTTTTCATTTCGGAAATCCTTACGTTAACTGTACGGACGTACATGTGTACAAACGAATGAACTACGTATTTAAAAATCTCAATTCTATCAAGAATATATATACATACATATATATATATATATATGCACACATATTTTGGATCGATATGTTTATTTCTGATTGTTGCCATATGGAATAGGAACTCGTCATCAGTTTTTATACACGGGTATAGTATTCATTGACATATGTCTGTATGTAAACCAAATCAGAATGTGTGTCATTGTGATCGAAATTGTTCAAACCTTCCTTGCAAAGTATTTTTGACAATTGCTAAACGAAACGAGTAATCTACATCATCATTGATAGGAAGCGATGAAAGGGTATTCACAATATGTAAGAACTATTGGTAAAATGCACGTTTTACCGGAACTAAGCTGAGTTCAAAATTATCAAAATACGGCATTTATCTTTTCGCTTTCAAATTTAAGTTAATTCCATTAAAATCGAATATATTAACCAAGTTTTGATAAAAAGAACTATTGATCCACATTTTCACAGACCTTTTCAAAAAAAAAAAAAACGTATTGAAAGTAAGTTTTTAAATCTTACGATTGCGAATATATATGATAAAATATTGCGAAATGATTACAAGCCAATTTTTCAACGTTTAAGAGAGAACCAGAGACAAGAGAAACTAGAATACAAAGTAATCATAGAAAATTTCGAGAAAGTCGACTTCTCTTCATAAAAAAATGAAAAGTCCTTGCAGAACTGAACTGTGAATATTTCCAAGAAAGTGCCCCTATCTAGTCATTTTGAAGTAACAATAGACCCGACAATGTCTGAGTAGCTTGAATTTATAACACTGATAAGGAGGGAATATAGTTATAAGTTCCTCAAACATGAATATATTGCAGCTTTTACTACACGCATATCCAACCCACAAGGAACATAAATAATTTGCTTAATTCTTTATTCTTTATGTTTTGATTTGATTTTCCTTTTCAGAAAAATTCATCATGATCTTAAGAATTGCGAATGTATTCCCTCATTTAGAGTGAAATGAAATGTTTCCAAGCTTGCATTCTTGTTTTGTACGTGAAAATTCGGAGAGATGACTGTTTACAAAAAAAGTTATTAATGAATATTGATTTGATTGATTTTGCACTCCTCGAAAGGATTAGATCTGATCGCCCCTTACGGTCCAGATATATTTCTCATGTACGTACATGTATATTTTTTGATTGACCGAAATATATTAGGTCGAGATATAAGTAACTTGCGTGTTTGTTTTCATTGAATAACAGAATTATATCGATTTAACAGTTAATTGTGAGGTATTCAAGCTTTGTGCCATACAGCAGACTTCGGAGACCCCATAAAAAATATATATACACTTAATCAGATAAAAATTCTGGATCGATTTAAGCATATCCGCTTGTTTGTCTATCTGTTTGTATGTACATAACAGGTCATCTAAACAGTCTTTGTGGTTTTTTTCGCTTTTTTGGTTCCAAATTGTCTTTGCTCTTATCAAATGATTCGAAACGGTCGTGTGGTGCCTCCCCTATTCCCCTGACAGTTTACGTCCCGGACTTACTACTTTAGTTGCAAAATTTCATCTTTTTTGCTTACCTCTTGTTGATTGTCTTTAAAAGGTTGTCGTACGGACGTCCCATACTTTTTAGGTCATATCTTCACAATGAAATTTTACAAACCAATTTGCAACTGCCGTATACGCTGCATATTTTTGTCAGCTGTCACCGTAGTGCTTAGTGTCAAATATGCACTGTTTGACTCTCCTTTTCAGGGATTAAGAAAAACAGTTGACAGAAGACTAACTGAATCTTCATCAACGTAGTGAAAACAAAAACTAGTTAGTTTCGGTGACTTACAGTGGATAAATACGAACAGTAGATACTATCTATCTGCATCGGACGTTACTTATGGTTCGACCTAATATATTAAACTTAATTCGCCTATAATATAAAAGGTAAGAGAAGATACTTATTAGTATAGATCTCTGTTATACAGTTTAAGCATATCAATACACAACGCGCACACACCCTCCCCCGGTTTTCAACCCTTCCGTCTTTCTTTTCTTCAAATCCTAATGATTAAAAAGTTTGAAATACGAAGCGAAAACTTGAAAATGAGAATAATATCCTTACAAACATGCTCACAATTGCAAAAAAATTGCAAAAATAAAAATGAAAAATGTTAAAATATTGTTATCAATAGTTTCTATAACCCAAGTTGTTGGCAACTATTCATTACAAACTTTGTACTCATGCTTATAAGAGCCGTTTGCCATTTTATGAATACGCTATGAAAATAATATTAAAAAAAGAAATCTTTGTCTCTATTTACCGCCCTAGGTAGTGGGTATTCAAAATTTGTCCTAAAGCGAAAGAAACTTTCTTACTGACTTCTCTTTAAAGTAAATCTCATATTAAAATCACTCTACATAATGACCAATTTTGAAATGAGAAATTATAATGATATTAAATATAAACATAAATTAAATTATAAATTAATTAATTAGACGAGAAAACAACTATATTTTCGAAAACACATATTTTACACAATAAATCAGAGAAAAAAGAAAAATAAATAAACAACTAAATAAATAAAATAAGAAAAGAACATTTAAAATATTTTGTGAAACACTTTATGTTTCCGCACATTGAAGAATACATAGTAACAACGCAAAAGCTTACATATACGCATATATGAACTGACAAAGCAAATCAACTGTTTCTCTTACATCTTAACTAACATTAAAAAAGCAATTTATGTGAAAATTAATTTTCAAAAAAAAAAAAACAAATAATTTTCGCATTACAATGAAGAAGAAGAAGAACATATTCTATTTTTAATAGTTGCGATTACTTATTATTTAAAAATTAATTAGCTCCATATACACAATCACACACACACACACACACACACACACACACATACACGGTATGTACATGATGCACAGTGTCATAATCAAGTAAGTAGAAATTGTTGTTAACATGTTTCAAAAATCGAATGAGTGAAAATTAAAAATCAGAAAATTTACTGAAATAAACATATATACTAAATACGCATAAACATATTTATTAAATGTACATTTACTTATCTATACATACATATATATTTAAATTATTACATACATGCATACATAGTTAACGATATCTACAAATAAATAAAGTTATTAGAATGAGAGAGAATTAAGCGAAAAACTTACCCATAAAGTACAGAAAATGTAAAGAGCGGCAGTTTTTTTAATTATAGACGATAAACGTTTTTTTTTTTTTTTTGTTTTCTCTTTAGTTTAAGAAGATGAAAAAAAAACCACATTTCCGAGTTTAAATTCAAAATAAATTATACAATTATTAAAGACAATTATGCATTAAATAAATACATATTCGATTATGCAAGGTAAGTGATAATCGAACGATTGATTTTATTATTTCTTATTGTCTACTAAAATTTTAGGGTTAGCTACCCGAAAAACATTTGGCACCTGATTAGCTAATATATTAAACAAGTCTTCGGATATGTCATGAGGCAGTAGCAGTTGTAAAGTACTAAAAAAAAAAAATTGCAATAAATAAACTCATTTGAATACTGATAATACCCATATATATGCGTGATAAGGTAATTTACCTTAATTCTGCTCCACCCCAAGAAGCCGATTCAATCATGAAACCTTTAGCGCATTTAAATACTAATTCAGCTCGACGTGTACACCATTGTACAGTCATGTCTTCAGACATTTCATGTCTCAGTAATGCTGGTATCGTTAACGTTGTTACATCATGTCGGCTGGCAGTTTTTAATATATTTCGTAAACCTAGTATAACTGGATGACGTGAAGTTATTTCACTAGGACTGTTAATCGGTTCATCCGAAATCAAATGAAATATAACGTGAGATTGCGAAAGATTCGAATGTTTAGTAATGAAAAAATCTCCTGTTTTTAATCTTCCACCAGATTTTATTGGAGAACTATTGACACTGCCGCCAGAGTTAATTAAGTTTGATAAATTTACCGCGACATCGTCAGTTCCACTCAAAATGCTTACATCTGTACTTGCAGTACTTATACTCTTCGTACTAGGTGTCGAAGATGTACTAACACTGATTTGCCGTATTTGCTGTTCAATTTTCTCGAACTGATCATCGATCTAAATAAATTGTGTGTTATTAAGACTTGAAATTAACTTGAAACTAAACGCCAAACTTGCAATATTATCACCGGGCATTTGTCAATCTAGTCCCCTAATATGAAAAAACTCATATTCAGCTTAAGCCTAACTAATTCTGAAGCACACATTTATTGACACTCGTCGTTTTTCACAAACGCATTTCGAAACTGCATAAATGAAGGATCCTAAGATACATCTGGAATACCCGATATTTCAAAAAGTAATTACGAATGTTTCGGAAAATATTCAGAATTTTCATCCAAATATTTTAGAGTAAAAAATCACCATTAAAAAGTTATTAAGAAAATATGTTTTTTTTTCTTTTCTTTCAAGATAATTTTAGTCTCTATTTTTTGCTAGTGACAGAGGAAGGAAGTTCAAAAAGTGCCCCAGCCGATCCAAAGTTTTCATACCAATTAAGAATGCCGAAACACTACTACTTAATCATATTTAATGAGAATTTTTGAATATTGCAATTTTTTTCGTTATATGGGGAATGGTCGAAAACGTGGACCGATCTGAAACATTTTCAATGTGGTTCTCTCTTGAGTCAAAACACGCCACTGTGCCAAATTTCATCATAATATCTCAAAAATTGCGACCTTTAGCTTGAATACAAATTTACGTAGACAAAGAACCGACAGACAGGGTTAGATCAATTCAGATTATGATTCTGAATCGATCGGTATAATAACAGGTGGGTTTATCTCAAGTCCTTCTTCGCACTGATATAATATTCTATCTCTATTACAATTAGTGTAGCGTATGAATAGCATAAATTGATAAGCCATAGGTTTAAAAATTTGCCGAGAATTATTTTTAATATCAAAGTCTATTCTCATCTGCTCATCAGAGTGTCTTCTTTCAAAAGCAAAAAAGCTTTAACAACAATAATTTTGAAAAAAGTACGGTTTTGGATCATTAATTACGCTCTAAAGCTTATTTTTGGCTATGACCTGCCAGATAAATGTAATGCGCAAAAAACGACGTACCTGGTCAAAATGAAACTCCGTGGACATATTAGCGTTTTTTATAATATCCTTGTTGACTTGCGCCTGTATAGATGGCGTTAATACAACGACACCACAAAGAGAGCTCGAATATAAGCCTAAAGCCATATTCATTCCATTCAAACTGTAAGCGAAACCGATGAGTTACAAAATTGCACATACATATAATAAAATATAATACTACCTTTCATCAGCATGCAAAGGACTGCATAAATCGTTAATATTTGCACTTAATATACGAATGTTATGCATATGTTTTAATTGAGAACCTAAGTGTATGGTAAAACTCTCTTCCATGGATGGTTGTTGTGATATAAACATTGATGACCGATTACCTAGCGGAGTAGCCACAGGTGAAGTCTGAAAAAGCTGACTTACTTGACTGGTAATCCAGTCACGATACTCGTTCTTTTGGTGCCCCCTTTTGGCCACTAACTCCGATTCGTAACGTTTGCGCACATAGTTCTGAGTGGAGTATTGTTGAGCTAATAGATTATTTATATCTTCCGAAGTAGTTGTTATATCCAATTGATTTATTTTAGATTCCATTTCCTCTTGCTGAGAATTACTAAGCGATTCCACTTCGTTATCCATCATTTGAGTCATATTGGATATAACTTTGGCGTATGTGCGTTCTTTTTTCAAAATTTCCTCCAAAGAAGAAGAATGAACTAACCTAAATTAACGACACCGTTCGAGAAATATGAATTCGTTAGCTCTCTTCCTTTCTTTCGATGTCCCTTTACCTATTGTTCTCACCTATGGAAACTTTGAGCGAAAATATCTTCATCAGATGGTCCTACTCGATCAGCAAACTGAATAAGCTCTTCTTTATAATGTCTTTCAGTTTCCCTGATTATCTCTTCAATATCGATTTCGTTTCTACCAACTTTTTCTAATAATTTTTCAGCATATTCGTCACGAAATTTTTGATTTTCAGTTTCGATAAATGCCTTTAAAGATTTTTTAATACCTGTGATAATGGCAAAGATTAGTTTTCAAAATAGCAAACATTAGATATTTTAATCATGTAAACAAACCGATATTTTCATCCAAATAACGTAACATTGGATCCATTTGATTCAATAACTGTGTTACCAATTCGTCTAAGCATTCTTCCTCGTAAGGTATGTTTATATTCAAGCAGGCTTGTTGATCCTTATTTTCATGATCTTTATAATCGTAAATGAATTTCACTCGATTTGATCCTTCCATTAATTCAACCATATTTGTAAACACATTTAATAAACATATAATTTCTTCAATTTGTGACTTAAAACATAATCCGCAAACTATGCTAATCAGCTGTGTGAAATAACTTTGAATTTGTTGCTGGCAATACTATGATAATACCTTTGACCATAACTCCGTCAAGAAAATTTAAATTACCCAATATTTTAATTACTAATTTTTATTGTTTTTGATAAATAAAATCTATTTGAGATAATGAATTCCTCAATCTATTGATCTTTACACAATTTACACAAGTAATTCTCTCAAACCCGCGCCTTTTTTTTCTTGTTCATATTTAATGTTGATTCCGAATTGAGGAAAAATTGTCTAAAATTGCTGTAAATAAACTGATTTAGCTCAACATCCCTAAAAGTTGTCTATTTAAGTTTTCGATTAGACAACAAGTTTACAACCAAAAATTATACCTTTGCTGGATTTAACTCCAAATGTAGCGTAACTATGAATCAATCAGTTAAACCCATTTACATAATTAGATAATTTCAAGAACCTGTTATTCCAAACGAAGTTTTCACGCATCAATTCGAGAGGCAGCCAGCGTTTAATGAAGAGCATGCGCAACTTGTCGCAAATCTTTGAAAATCTAATACATACCTAACCCCTCCGCGAGTAAGAACAAATAAAGAAAGACTGTAGTGAGCCTGTAGTGAGCTATTCATATCATAACTTTTCAAAATAAGGCATTATTGTGGAAGTGACCGAAAAAGTTATTCGATACGAATCATTTCAATAGCATTCGTCTTTGGGCGAAAATCACTTCAGAGTAGCATATCTTATCAAAACGTCTCAAAAGTTGTGGCCTATGGGCTGAACACAGATAATTATCTGGACAGACGGCTAGAGAAGAATCACTTTCTAAATCGATCTGAGCCTGGCCCTTCTTCGCACGTACAAATCAGTTATAAAAGCGCAGCAAAGAAGTAAAGTATTGATTTCTCCAGTATAATTGCTTGTTCGGGCGTAGGAAAAAATGCTACGTAAAAGATCAGATTTGACCATAAGCCATACAAAAAGATTTATAATAATTTGCAAATTTTAGCAACTTGTTTGCTTACCAACATCAGTCGAAATTTTTCCCGCGTCCACTGGCTCCTTGTTTAACACAAAGAGCGAGACGTTCTAACGCTTTGCAGTTTTTATTCTTCAATTGCAGAAAAATGAGAAAGCATGTAGAAGATGTGTACGCATTTACTTTGTTTTATATTAAAAGAAATAGTTTTCTCCTTTCTTTCCTTCCTTCCTCTATATATATATATATATATATATATATATATACGCATATATGTATATATGTAGATATATTATTAAATCCTTTTTTTATTTCTCCATATAGATTTAAAATTTTTGAAGAGGATTTTCATTCTCTATGTAGAAATTTTAGTTTTTATTTTATTAA